TCAGTCACACCTTGGTCCGGTCGCTCCCAAGCTCTATACACCCACCTTTCATTACTCCGGAATGTGCGATTCTGGGTGTATCGTTGAACCCGTCTCTTGTACCTTCGAATACGGTTTGCCCATGCATACACCTTCTGCTTCAGGAAGTCGATGCGCTCTGTGACCCTGGACATATAATCTTGGGGGCTAATGTCTGTCCCCGAGAATGCCCGTGTCACAAAGCGCATCACTCTAGGGCGAGTATTGCCCTCCCTGAAGCAAATTAGTTTGCCAATGAGTGCTCTGGCCCCAGCAATACGACGCTCGATCCTGCGTTGCCAGGCCGGTACAGCTGGTTTTAGTCGTGTGGCTACGTCACTGGTTGGGAATTTGACGTGAGCCACACGACATGCCGCTACAGCCGCGCAATACATCATCGAATGTGTATCACTGAGGTCTTCGCAGTCATCAAAATGATTAGACAACTGCGAATCCAGAGCAGCCACTAGCACTCTATTTTTGTTATGCATGGGCAAACGAGGTAAACGTGGTCTGATTTCGGGTGACATGTAGCGATATTCCCGAATCGCACACTCCAAAGCACTCCTCAATTCATCATTGCACTGGGTATTTACGTGTGTAACCGTGTCATTACTTTCCTCATCAGCGGCGGTACTAACAATACCGCGGTTGGACGGTGGCATCATCGCTGGTGCCACAGTCCGCGACGAGGAGGTACCGGCACAGCTACCCATTTCCGTGCGGAGGCGATCAAGTACAGTATTGTCCAACATACGATTACGCTGGATAACCCGTACCTGATCCGACAGTCGTTGAGCTGAGACGTTGATGGCTGGCTCAAGCACCTGAAACAGAGAGAGCATCCGAACACGGTACGCGGTCAGGTTGTTTCCTCCCTCTGTAGCCCCATAGTATGCGCGCATGACGTTTTCATTTATTGGTTGCGTCCATCGCATGCGCTGCACACTTCCGCCGGCGGCTGGGACCCTATCAGAAGCCGGTGGGCCTCGAGGTCCTAAGCCTGCTGGCGGCCGGCGTCCTCCCCGGCGACGCGTAGGTGGTGGTGTCGTCGGCGGTGAGTAGTACTCGTCGCTGGAGCTCGACGCAGCTGCCGCGGCCGGTGTCTCTTCACTCACGGTGAGGCTGGATCCCGGCGGCGGCGAGGCGGAGCTGAGCGACGAGGCCGGAGGTGGTGGGCGTGCACGGCGTGCTGCGGCTCTTGTCAACATGGTCTCAACAGACGTCCTTTTTTCTCTTTTTCATATTAACTATTTATTGTTCCGTTTTCCACATGTTTTTGTTATTATTATTTTGATTTCCATATTCCGTTTGTATTTATATTGTTTGTCAGCCGTATTTATATTATAATTTAATAAAAATGTTTGCGAGAGAAAAAATTATGATCTGTCTTTTTGACATCGAGCCATAGAGTATTATTATTATGTATGTCTTTACCAATCACGGGACCACAGGGTCCCGGTCATTTGGAAGGCGTACGAGGGGCCGGAGCCAACTGCGCAGAGGCCCTTTAGACAACTTTAATCTAATTGAAACGGGACACAAACCGGCGACTATCCCTGTATGCACTATGGAAATGCACCCAAGGACAGTCCCCGGTTAGTGTAGGACTATTGCGGATGATGGAAACAAAATACAAGGCTATGGGTGTGGGTTGCTATGTGCTAGTAGGATGGGAACTATGGAAGGACTATGGCACCTGCCGAAACAATGTAAATTATACACGTAAAAATGGCAGGTGGAGACTCGCCAACTCACCGACCGGGCCCCCGGGAATGGTTGCTAGTAATAGCAACAGAGGGACAACGGAAATGTGAGTGGCTGAAGGGTGAAGAAACTGCCACCAGCTTTCTACTCAGATCATCTGCATCTGCCTAAGCATCCTGCATCACTGGCCCACTCGCCGCTTACGAACAGCTTCCACCCTCCGAGCAGGATCACTACTCTCGCGACTCCACTCTGGACGGCCAATGAAGGCAAGCCAGAGGTGGGAGACCTGTTCCTCGTCATCGTTCACTCCGGCCAGCCAATGAAGGCAAGCCGGAGCTGAGGAACGGTGACTCCTCCCTGGAGCAATCGGGATGATGGTAGCCCGCGGGATCGCTAATTCCCGTCACCTCGCCTCAAGGTGCCCTGCGGGCTTATTATTATTATTATGTATGTTCCTTTTCCACTCACGGGACCACAGGGTCCCGGACTTTTGGAAGGCGTACGAGGGGCCGAAGCCAACTCGCAGAGGCCCTTTGAACAACTTTATTATAAGTGAAATGGGACATCAGCCGGCAGTTATCCCTGTATGCACTATAAAAGTGCACCCAAGGACAATCCCCGGTTGATGGAGGACTATTGCGAAATGTGGTAAAAAATTATAAGGTTATGGGTATGGGTTGCTATGGACTAGTGGATGAAAACTATGGAAATACTATGGCCCCTGCCCCTGACCAATATTGATACATACGGATAAACAGGCAGGGGGTGACTGGCAAACTCAATTAATGGGCCCCCGGAAACGGCCGCTAGCATGTAGCGACACGGGGGCAACATACGTTGAGCTGCTTGGGGAAGGAGAGGCATCCCACGGCTATCAGAGCAATCCCGGAAGTACGGTCAAGACCCCTACCAGCATCTTACTGAGATACATCCTTCCCCCGAGTCTCCTTCAACTCCTACTCTTGCGAATCTCCACTCAAGCCAGCCAATTAAGGCAAGAATGAGGTGAGAGGGCTTGTTCCTCATCAGTGTTCACTCCAGCTAGTCACGAGGACTAACCGGAGAGAGAAGAACAAGACACCTCCCGGGAGTCAGGTCCGTGGGGTCGCCACTGCCCAACAGCTCGCCACAAGCTGCCTTGCGGATTTATTATTATTATTATTATATTATTATTTCAATCAGAGATAAGATTAAAAGTTAAATCATATTACATAGAGTACAAGAGATTAATTCATTGTGTCTCAACTCCTTAAAATGTGATGTCCATGAGGTTCAGAAGTGCGTAAACAAAGTTAGCTTAGTTTATACTAGAGTAGCTTCAAAAGTGCAGAGTAAGGGTTGTCTTCGAACAAGATATACAAATAAATTATTACATGTAATACCGCCCATAGCTAAGCAGAATGTGTGGGTTTGCCAAAGCAAACTCGGACGAAACTGCATCGTAACCATTTCCTATATATTGCCCAAACCGGGAACGCTGAGCGCTAGCAGGAAACTCTGACGTAGACGTGGACAAACTTAATATTATATGATTTCTATGTAAAATTTCTATGTAAACTATGTATGTAATGTATGTATGTATGTTCTATGTAACTATATTTCCTCTGCCATATTATATTTTATATGCAATATAGATAAGGTTAATAGTTGCTACTTTTTTAGTTTGTTTCAAGTCAAAATTGACTGATAGAAAATGCTGTTAACATTAATTCACCGATATGACATTATTGTGTATAATACATAAACAAAACTAAGCAACAGATCTATATCTAGTATATATATGAAGTAATTTTGGATCAAGTTCGAATTTTGAAATTTGGAACGAAAGAGTATACATCAAAAAATGGATTCATAGATTTTGTATAAAGATCGGTTTATTTATCAAAAAGTCTTTAAAGCATCCACTCTTATATTAGAGAGTAAATACCACTGTGACCCTTCCTATGATATATAAGGTAGAAATTGCTTTCACGGGTACGAAATTTAATCTCTTAGATCGATCTTGGACATCGTCCCAGCTCTGAGAAAATTGAGAAAACGAAGTAGATTATTGAAATAAAATTGGTTGGAATAGATTTTTTATTATACGTATGTGGAAAGCGGTACGGTACTTAATCTTTCAGGATTTATTCTAACTATTTAGCGTACTAAATATATGTTAGTGTAGAAAAGTATTTGGACATAAGGGCCCGTTTTACTCACTACCTTTACATATAAGTACCAGATACATTTATATGGCGTATGGTTCATACTAATTAGGTTCTATATTCAAATAAACGAAACATTCTATCCTTAGGCATGGTGCACTATATAAAACAACGTCCTCTTTGTCCGTGGGATTTTTAAGTAGAAAAAAAGGCGTCCCGTTTCTACAGAACTTCTTGTCCAAAAGCCTTCCACGTAGGTGTAATATTATAACTTAAAAGAACCTTAAAACCCGGGCTTTACACCTTCATGCTTCCTTTATTAAAATCCAGAAGAGAGAAAGGAGAAATCTTAGTAAGTATTTATATACTCAAATAATTTAATGAATTAAAGTTCCCTAATAGCACTTTGCAATCCTTTCTAAAGTCGCAAACGATGCGGTTTCCCACCACCACATTGGACGTTCGTCTAGCCATTAAAAGTTAGTATTTCGTGTAAGATAAACAAAACAAATAAACAAGTGACACTTGATTTATTATTTAAGTTAATTTAGAGTTGAGAAGTGACCAGTTTAATTGGTGCAAAGTTTTAATTAAACACTATCTAGAGTGGTATAAAAGTACCGTTACTGGGTTCCTTAAGAATTTATCAATTTGTCAGTCGTCTACATAAAAACGGAATGGCGTCTGAGTTTTTCCTTTTATCTGTTTTCGCCGTATTAAAATGTTAATGCGAGACGTAATGGTACGTTTGGGAATGGAGGTTTCTTATTTTTAATTTGCGTATTTAAAATTATAATTCTTTAATGGGACAGTTTTAAATTATGTTTTATAAATTGAAGTATTTCTACATTTAAATTATGTTTTATAAATTGAAGTATTTATTAAGTGAATTATTTCTTACTATTATATAGTTACATAGTTATATAATAGTTATTCAAAGATTGTTATTATATTGTACATTATTATATTGGTAGATATGACAAAATTTCATTCATAATCTTAGTAATTGTATTCTGTAAGTTTTCATTGCCATGTATCTAATATTATATTGCATTTTATAAGGCTGTACAATTCCACACTGTAACTAGATCAAAATTATGACAACTTGACAAAATTTAAGCTTACCTTTAAAAGTATGTACTCTAGAGTTGGACATAACATGCCATAGCTGAGGGTCTCCAGCTGATGGAGCGAGCACCAGGTGTTGTCCTGATGGTGCCAGCTGTAGGAGCCTGGCTCCAGCTCCAGGAGTTGATCCACCCACGGAGAGGACGCGTACTGTTGACGCTATCGGTGGTTGCAACCTATGATAAAAAGGAATACATTCATTCTATGGCAGACGCATTTTTTTATTCGTGTTACTTGAAGAAGGTATGGGCATCCTGATTACAATTGTTTGATTATTGTCTTCAAAACATGTTTTTTTTATAGATATGACACGATTTTACAGATTCGTAGTTTCTTAGGTTAAAAATACATAATTAATCTGAATTTTAAATGCAATATATTCATGAAATAAACCATACTTTCATTTATTGCTTTTGTCAAAAATAAGTTTGCTATTTGATGTAAAAACATTATAATAATATAATATAATAAGTTAAATATAATAAGTTACGTTTTTATACAAAATTGTTAAAAAAAGTTTAGTACAGTTTTTGAAATTTTAACATAAATATTAGTAGAAGATCAGAACCTAATTCAACATTCACTGGGTTGATAATATAATCTAAATACATTTCGTATAAAAGAAAATCGGGTAACAATATTTTTTCATAAATGTTGCAACGTTAAGATAATATTACAATTTTATGCTGGACTTAAAGTATAACAATGTGTAGGGTTGACTATTACATATATATACCTGTAAAAGATACTAGGTTGGCAGGTATAAACAGGTAGGTCAATGCTAACGCGTGTGGAAATGAATCAAAAATCAAATTGAATTTGTAAGCAAATAACCCGCATTGTACCCATTTCATCTCTGCACATTATTTCTACATATATATTTTACCAAGTTTATAAAACTGTATTTTTCTTACAAAGTCATACTAAACAACGTGTTGCAACATAGGTCATTTAAAAATCTTAGTATAAAACTCAAGTTCTTTGTACAAAATGTTTCTTTGTCTTCTAGAAGTCTCGTATTAAAAGATGGAGGAGTACTTACCTACCTAGTGTTGCTACAATGTTAGAATACTTTTTAGCATAAAAGTTTTTAGCTTTTTCTTTATTTAACAGCTTATATACACAGTACGAGAGCCGAGAAAAATATAGTACAATTAGAACCAAAGGCACAGCTTATTTATTTAGAAATCTCTTCTATCAGGCCCACTATGGGAGAATTAGAATTATCATTTTTTTTAATTATTATTTTTATGTAGTTTTTCGGCAAACGAGCAGACGGATTATCTGATGGTAAGCAATCAGCGCCGCCCATTGACACCCGCAACGGAGGATTTACGAATGCGTTGCCGACCTTTTAGGGATTAGGGATTTGGAGATTTAGGGATTGAGGAGGGATTGGGGCAGGGAAGGATTGGGCCTCAGGTAACCTCACACAACGCTGTGGTTGTTTCAGGTCGGTTTTCTGTGAGGCCGTGGTATCACTCCGGTCGAGCCGACCCATTCGTGCCGAAGAATGGCTCTCCCACACTTACAAATACATAATACAATAAACACTTTACATACTATAACCGTCGATGAGGAAAGATATTAAGCTATTTAGGGAACAAAGAAAAAATCCCGAAGATTGAATAAGAAGGTTTTTCTGACTAGGCTAATTGAGCATGCTTGGTACGCCCAACAATATAATTGTACGTTAAGATTTTTTGTTATGTGGGATTTCTATCAGTTAATTGTTAATCGTCGATGTCAAATGAGCTCTGTCACAACTTTAATAAATAATTTGCTTGTGCCCGCTACTCCGTTCGAGTGGAATAGTGGCTTCCTGCAGATTTTTTCAGGTATAAAAACTATTCTATGTCCTTTCTCGAGTTCCAAACTATTTCACAAAAATCGGTTCAGTAGTTTAGGCGTGGTGAAAAGACAGACAGTCAGAGTTACTTTCGCATTTATAATATTAGTTTTTTGAAGATAGTACTAGTAAAATAAAGTTATAATACATTAAAAAGGTTTCGTATAAAAATACACAACTAATAAGATCTCTTTAACTACAGTCATTTAACGAGAAGCAATATTATTTCATTTTACGATATAAATATCACAAATTATTGCCAACATTAAAACATATAAGTATAACGTCTAGTATAAAAAAAGAAACATCATATATTTTTCTTTCGTAAACATTCTAATTATTTTCCCTAGATTTCTCATTAAGGATAATCGTCTGCTGTTGTCTCTTGGAGCATTAATTACGAAAAACTTAATGAGAAAGATAATGAGAGCGATTATCAAGATAATTAGCGATAAACTGCTGATTTAAGAAGCTGTCAAGGTAGGATCGATTTGAACTTATTGGCTGTAGATTTACAACGTCTGTGGAAATCAGCTAAAAGTTGAGACATGAGTATTTCTCTATTCCATGAAGGGACATATTATTATACCAGAAGATACTAAATGGTAATTTTTGTACTAAAACAATATAAAACTAAATCAATCAAAGGAAACTCAAACGAATAATAATCCAAACTAATATTATAAATTAACTCTGTATTTTTTTCGCGCCTAAACTACTGAACGAATTTTTGTGAAAGTACAGTACAGACATAGTTTGGAACTCGAGAAGGGACATAGGATAGTTTTTAAAACAAAAAACTGTAAAGGAAGGAAGGAAGTCACTATACCGCGCGAACAAAGTCGCGGGCAAAAAAAAAAAGAATTCTTAAAGCTATATATAATAAAAGTAAGGTGTGAATTTGTAACTATTAGGTAACATAAACACACACATCGAAACTCATGAGACTTTGATGTGGAGCAAAGTTCATTTAGCAAAATGCACAATGCACTTTCAGAAATTAAAATGTTACCTATGAAGGAAAAACCAAAATTGTAACACCGCAAAAAGACAAGAACGATACGATAGCACATCCAAAATAATTATTATGACAAATATATTTGCATCCAATTACTGATATCTCTGATAATGATCGCAAATTGATCGAAAACTGTCCAACCATTTAATTCAGCTATTAATATTTCGATGTTTAAATTTTGTAGGAATAAAATAAATGTCAACGCCAAATGTATTGGCTGTCAAATAAAAGCAGTTGTGTTTTTATAATAACTATCGTGAGACATACTAAATTAACTAAAATTCGCGGGTTACTCACGTGTAAATGATGAGAAAAGCTCTACTAGCTAAACCGTGCGCTGAGTCTATGCGATCCACAGTACATTGACGACGAATTTCACCATTTAAAAAGGGTACTGGAGAACAATGGATACAACTGGCGTCAATGTACTCGACTAGCGAGCAGCTCGAGTAGGAAGCGACCAGCAGTTGCGGAGCGGACTCCAGCGTTCTTACCATACGTGAAAGGAGTAACCGACAGAATCGGACACCTGCTGCAACGTAAATATAGCATCAGGACGATCTTCCGCCCACCCGGTCAGCTGAGACAACTGCTACGCTCGCCAAAGGATAAGGATCCACTAGCTGTGCCCGGTGTGTACATTATACCTTGCGACTGTGGCTCAAGTTACATCGGAGAAACTCGGCGCAACATCACAACCAGGCTAAAGGAACATATACGTAGCGTGAAGAAGATGGACATCCAGGCATCGGCTGTGGCTGAACATGTTTGCGGCACGGATGCGGCTCACTTCTTACGTTTTGATAAGGTCTCCGTACTAGCGAGGGAGAAATACTTCGTTCCGCGAAAAGTGCGAGAGGCCATCGAGATTAGCCGACGTCCGTGCTTCAACAGGGATGGTGGCTGGGCATTGCCACCCGCGTGGAAGCCGAGCTTGGAGACTACGTCGGTCCGAAGCGTATCCAGTCTGGAGTGTGACACAGTAAGCGTCATATGTAACACAGACTTTGTGCCGGGCCCGGAATCGAACCCACTACCCGCGCCACTGGTGAACGTACCGTGCGCCTCAACATCGTCACACGCGCCGCCGCCGGAGATGGCAGCAAACGCGCGTGGTATCCGGCAGATGGCGCGTTGGACTCGCCGCAGCGCAACCATCAACAGCGATGCAGGCGCCAACGCTAACCAGTAGGCTGCGCGACGTCGCCGCGTCCGCGCACGCTGCTCATGAGGAAGAACCCCTCTGTGGTTCGAAACTAGTAGAGCTTTTCTCATCATTTACACGTGAGTAACCCGCGAATTTTAGTTAAAAGCAGTTGTATTAATTTCTACGAATAAAATATAAAGTGATTTCTCTTGTAAGTGAAATTTTTCGGACGAATAGATGCTTATTGACGAAGCTTTTGAATGTTGTTTTAAAATATTAATAAAATGGAGTTATTATTTAACGTTTTAGAATAATTTTTGAGTGCAGAACGTCATGAAATTGACACATGGAACAACTCTTTGACTGTTTCACACATTGTTCCTGTTCTACGTGCTATGAATATGTAAATAAAAAATATATAGGTATTTGTTAACGTACCCACAATATAAGAGAACATTCTAGTGTGGGGAAACTCATTGAAAATAACAGTAAACAGTAAGTTTTACTGTCACATTTTTCATAGAATTATTACTTTCACATTAATAAGCATTTATGTAGTTTAGTTTAGCTGTTGCAAGAATCTGAACATACATATATTATAATTAACATTCTTAAACATACAACTACTGATAAAACTACATCGTTATATATAAAATGGATCACGAAATGTGTTGGTAAGCGCATATCTCAACAACGCCTGGACCTGGACAATTTTGCTAATTCTTTTTTGTTGTGTTTGTTATTGTCAGGAGAAGGTTCTTATCAAAGAAAATATTAGAAAAGTAGAGGAGAAGTTTAGGAAAAAGTGACCCATTGATAGCGAGATGGTTGGACCTGTGCGAAGCGGGGGCGGGCCGCTAGTACATAATAATATTCTCTGAAGACATTACGATTCCCAAGGAACGCGGCGCTTATGCACGTGGATTTTCATTTCGTCTTCATGAGGCGTTCCGGTAGCAGAGTTGCTCTTTTATAAGCAACATTCTTCGGTTCCCATGCGAGCTATTTTTCGAAGGATCGCACCTTTATGGAATTATTCGCGTCGTGAAACCTTAACTGAGTTAGATATAGAACGTGATTTGAATTCTATACGGGGTGTAAATGGATAGAATTCATATTTTAAGAACATTTAAAATGTTATTTTGAAAGCATTTTTGTATGTTATGAATTATAAAAATTTTGCTAAACTGACAAAGTATTATTGAGATGTTTTATTCTTTTACAAATAAATTCTTTAAATTGTTGGTTTTTGGCTTCTGTTGTTTGAACATACAAACAAAAGATTTTACACACTAATATTATAAGGAGGTAATGTTAGATTGTTTGTTTGTTTGATTAGAATGAACTTCGTTACTACTCGACCGATTTGGAAAATCTTTTTAAAGTTGTGAAGCTACACTATCTCCGAAGTACATAAGCTATTACATTCAACAATATTTTAAATGTAAAGACATTGGCTTTTTACATTGTTATTACATTCTTAGTAGTTACTTAGTTAAAATAATAAGGTACCTCTGATTTATTTATTCTGTGTAGTACACGATTCATACTAGTGTATTTTTAAGTGAACTAAAACAGTTTTAAGTGTCAAAATGCCTAAGCCGAACCCTAATGAAATTAACATGAAGAAACTTAAATAATAATTTTTGTGCTACACAATCAGGTGTTTGGTTACTCGGGCTCAATTTCCTTAACACGTTAAGCGCCATTGGGGTCACCGGTGACCTCCGTTAGCGGAGGATTTGCTTCCAACAGTTTTCTGTCAGCAGTCAAAGGCTTTTAGGGGCATATAGCAGGCTTACATAGGGCAATATGACAGAACATTGTACCACTATCAACTGGTCTGTTCTCGATTTTCATGTAATTAATGTTCTAGAACAGTACCTAGCATTGTTTTGTCTAACGAATTGAATTTTATTTCGCGTTTACAACTGAATAAAGGAAAAAGTAAGAAACTTACCAACATTCAGAAGGTTTGTAATGTATATATTTAAAAGTTTCTAATTCTTTGCAGTAAAATCTCCATTACATTTGACAACACTTTTACACAAATATTTTATTTCTATGTTGAATATTACCTACAGAAAGAAATTATGTCCACCATATACACTGTTAATTGTGTGACGAAGTTTAAAAAATACTTTATTTTCAGTCAGTAAGAAGTAATCGGTATTACGTGGAAGAATTTATCTCAACAAAAAAGTACATAATTAAAGTAATTTATAAATTAAATTTCAATTTGGTTAATTTATAATGAAATGAATTTCGTAGAATCGGCGAAATTGGTCTCTTTGGGTCAGATTTTGTGGGAAAGTAATTTAAGAGACACTTACTTAGATATTTTTATTTTATATGTCATGTTTGAAGATGGGTTGTTGGATATGCAAAATAGTATCAATATTTAATTTTGAGCTATTATTCCTTTCTATAAAAATTGGCAACGAACGTTGTGAATTTATGTAAAATATCCATAACTTTAAAAAATTGAATATTTTTACTTACATTTTTATACGCGAAACGATTTCAAAAATTAATTTATTATCTTACTTATTTTTAAAGTTTGCACACATTAAGATTTTCTCCTATGTCGTGTTTTTACAAACGTTTTGTGCGTTCACAAACATACTAATTCCCATACACTAGCCTTCCTGTCCCGACATCCATACACAAGATCCGAAACAACAATTTGTAGACCACACAAAGTGTTGTTCCGTGTTGGAATTGAACCCACGATACGTTTCAGCAACTAATTGCCTGTCCACTGTGCCAACCGTACAGTCAAAGTAAGAAAACTAACTACAAATTAGTTGTAAGTATCAAGTGGTAATATTGTTAGCAGACTCATATATATTTGATCATTTTTGCATTATTACAACCAAGCGTCATTTTTAGGGATTCACAGAATATTAAGTTGGTATGTCAACAGTAATATTGCGAGACGAATATTTGAAAAAAGGGAAAAGGTGTGGCTATTTCATTTATGACATAGAAATCCTCCCTTTCAAAGCGGCCGTTAAAACTAACTATAGCTGTTATTCTGTTATTCATATCATGTCCTGTTTCTATGGTTCCTTGGATAGCCTTTTGCGAATTTCACTGTGTTTTGGTAGTATGAAGGCGGGATAAACGTGACCTACAGCAATCGTAATCGCTAGTTTTGTAGAGGTTTACATAAAGTAAATTGAAATAGATTTTTGTATTCAGAAAATACACATTTTTTTTTTTGAGTAAATTAAAACGAAAAAGTTCCTCTTTCGTTGCAATACATCTTATATTTTAACATGTGTAAAAAATAGGAATATACATATATAAAGATACTGTCACCCAATACTGGCAATGTTGTTATATTTCTTTAATATTTCGAGTGTCCATGGACGTTATCGATAAAAATATTTCAATAAATAAATAGGATCCACAAAGATATACGCAACGTACTACGCAGGGTTGGCAGACATGCCCAAACTGAATGGGTCGCTAACACAGCAAAAGCTAGGCACAATGATCACTCAACACTTATTATTCGTAGATTTTCAGTTGACACCGCTGTAATGTCGCACGACGAAAGCAACACATACTAGGTAAATAAGTATTACAATCTGCATATGCCAGTGGTATTGATATGACTTACCATCCATTGAGTGGTACCAGCAGGGGTTTGTCGTAACCATCGCACCAGGCCATAGCTGCAGTCACCAAAGTGGCCAGCACGCCGCGTCTTGCAACTGCCGGGCGGAGCCACGCGATTATCTAATGAGAAAATAAGGACATCATTATTATTAATGTAATAAAACTAAGTTGATTAAATGTGCGTGCCGATTAAACTTAAAAAAAGGAGTCCCAGCACAATAAAGGGATATGGCGTGGTAGTCTAGTGGTGTAGACTGCGGCTTGGCATTGCGTTGGGTGCGAGTTCAAACCCGCGGAACCTAGTGTAGTTTTTACATCCGGGGTTGCGGGGTAAGCGCAATGAGGCACCGCGACTTTGGCTCAGAGCAGGAGAAGGAACAAGGGGGGGAGGGTTAGCCAGTAAGAGTCTGACACTCCCTCCCGCCCTGCCCTGGGCGGGAGCAGTCATTCGATGATTTTCCCCTCACAAAAAAAGTACGATAAAGGGACTTATTTGATAGCCCTTTATCCCACTCGAACGAGAAAGTTCCCGTTTTAAATTTAGAATTCTGTGTTTGATTTATGTCATTCCAGAATTCCAGAATAGAGAATCAATCTTAATTGTTAATGTTGAATGATAGCATTCTCTTCTACATTGCACTCAGACTCTCACAATTTACCTTACGAACTACTACAGTATTATAAAGTTTATCTCCAGTTCAACAGATACGTTAACCGCATCGCCCAACTTCAACCAACTTCACGATTTGTAACCATTGATGCTATCCGACCATTGAATTTACATAAGGCGCATGTGTGTCTGAGTACACTTACTAAATGCATGTTGGTGCAGTGGCTGGGCAACAGGCTGCTGTGCACACTACCACAAATAGAGTTCCATAATACAGATAATATCAATTTAAGTTAAAGCTATCTAAAACTAGAGCTTCACTTAAAAGATAAACTACCATATTTTCTTGTTAAAATGTTTAATGGAGGAAATTTTAACAGCAATAATAACTGTATTGCCCTTTGTGCTGTAAGCGTGAATATAAATAGATATTTTAGGGTTAGTGACCGAAGGATTCATATGCTGAAACCAACACAATCATATGATCTAAAGGTGGCAATACACTGTAAAATAAGCCTTAACTATACTTCTTCAGAATCCGAAGCCTGTATCCAAATCAGTCTAAAATTTTGAGCCTAAGATACGTAGTCATAAAACAGACAGACACTATCCCTTCATACTCATCATCATCATCTTCCTGCCCTTGTCCCGTTTTATGTGGGGTCGACGCAATACTACACACTATCCCTTCATACATAAAACCTTTTATATGTATATAATATCTACGTAGCTATCCATTGAATTTGTAAGTGTACGTAAGCCAATTCCCAAAGTTGGAGAACAAAAGCTTATTGAAACTGGTTAAGGGCTTTGTGGTCCGCTGACATCGAGGGCACTTATTGATTGATACTTGATCACTGATCAGATACTATATAATAATACATATGTATCTATATGTATAAGTAGGTTAAACACATATTTTTTTGTATATAGAATGGATATCACTACTACTACTATGTCAGTGTGGGAGAGCCAAGATTTGGCTCGACCGGAGTTACCACGGCCTCACAGAAAACCAGCGTGACACCAACCCACACTACAGCGTTGTGTTTCGCCGTGTGAGTGAGGTTACCGGAGGCTCAATCCCTCCCCTTCCCTCATCCCTTCCTAATCCTCAAATATCCGAAACACTTATCCCTAAAAGACTGGTTACGCAGTCGTAACTCTTTAGCTGTTGCGGGTGTTCATGGGCGGCGCTGATTGCTTACCATCAGGTAATCCGTCTGCTCATTTGCCGACCTATAGCGTGGGTGAGCCATGCTTTGGCACAAAAGGGCCGGCTTGACCGAAGTGATACAACGGCTTCAGCGATGATTGCTTACTTAGTTTTTAGGCAACCCGTGCCTTGTTTGTCGCCCCACCCCATAAAAAAGGATGGGTTTTTTGTAAGTCATTAGTTGATTAGATGGGGTGGTGATACTAAATCTATTGAATGTCTTGTCAAATGGAGTATGTGTCCAAGATGATAATAAAAACCAAAAGTCAATCTAAGACAGTATGCATAATATGTAATTTTATGTAGGTAAGTATTCATTTAACTCAAGATAATTTGGTTGCCTCAATCTGGTCAGTCTTGTGACAAAATCCCATATAATGATAATTCTCTATTTCCTTTTCTATTCCTATAACCTACAGTTTGACCAAAGTTATGTCGGTGTTTTGTGTTTCAGCTTACGTAATTAAAATATTAACAATACTATCTAGGTTTATGACAGCGAGTAATCTTACGAACTTATACAGAATTATCTTACAGCTTACATCATCTAAGACTGTAGTTTATCACAAAATATATTTCATTTACCTGTGCACCCAGCTGCATAGGATCTCTGGTGAGAATATCACTGGATTTCCGGACTGCTCCGTACACTAGCTCCACGTCTCGATCCAGGATATAACATCGCACGTGTTCCAGTATACATCGGAGGTACGATATTGTTACTGTTTGTACCTGTTTCGGAAAAAAATTAGTATAGTTAGTTTTCTTTTCTTTATTAGGTTTAGTTAAGGGTGGAAGCTGGTCTGGTTTGGTAGGTATGTGAAAATGTGTGTTCTGTGCACATCAATGTAGAATAAATATTCTGAGCAGGGTAATGGGTTCTCAAAACAAATTAAGTATTAAGTAAAATTTTGCAGAATCTAAGTATCTATTGCAGAGACCTCGCTGCTTGTTTTAAATTAGGCAAACATCATATTACGCTACATATTGTTATTTATATGATAAATACAATAAATTATAAAAAAAACGTCCTCTACGGACATCGCTGATTTGGCATAATTAAAGCGTAGCGAATTTTTATTTTGATATCAAACCAGACAAGATATTTACGTAATAATTTCCTCTAATCAACAAGAAGAAAGGCGCCAATTTAGTAACTAAGAATAGAATGATTTATAACGTGGAAATGTAATAGAATTACGACCTGATTCTAAGGCACTTTGTCCATTAAAAGGCGTGCCTAGCACCAAGAGACATCAAAGACCGTCCCCTTTATACAGATACGAAGAAAACGAAAATAACCATTCATATCGTAGACCAAATTTCACCTTTTTTGTTCAATATTCATTCAATTATGTATTTTGTTTTCCTTTGATGGCAGTTTGAAATTATGGTGGAAGTATTTCAAAATTTTACTGTATTTGTTGTTCCCACAGGTTGATCCGAAAACCTTATAAGGTTAAATTTACAATAATATGAAATAACATTTTTTATTATCAGTGGATTAGAAGAACATTTCATTTTAGATGAAAAGATTATTATTTTAAAATACCAATAGGACTTTAAAACAAAATATTATACTGATTAAATGTGAAATATCCAATGAATAATAAGGCAATTAGTATAGGTATTCATAGATTAAAAATGACTTACCGACGCAAGTAAAAAGTCGAAATTGCAGACAGTTAGGTCTTTGAGTTTTGAGAAATCTCCAGCCAACAGTAAGTGTAGCCAAGATTCTTCCACGTGTCGCTGAGTAAAGGCAGCTGCTGTTCTGGTAGCAGAGTGGAATGGAGTCGAGTCCAGGAGAGCATCGTCGTCATTATCCACGCAACCTATGAGCATACGAACTACTGTTGAATAAGTACTTGAGTTTTAAGTGCATGGTATAAGGTAGGTATAAAAATTTAAACACGTGTACTCTAACATTCTGGCGTCGTGTTAGCTGACGATAAAATTTTTTCTTCAACCGGACACAATTTATGAGCTTATGTGACCATCTCAAATGCACGACTAAGTGTGAAGGGTATTAACATTCTTCCATTACGCATTACAACAAAAAAAACAATACCAGAACTTCCCATGAACAATAAACGTATGAAGCCATTTTGATAAAATTTCAACGTCAAATCTATTTTGAATAGAAAGGTTTGGTTTCATCATCTCGAATATCTAAAGACGTTTTCTTTGTGAGACGCAATACTATATGTACCGAATTCAATCAAAGGGAATTGAATGCCAGTTTCACGTTTTCGTGTATTTGACGACACGTTTCCGTTCAAACTGATACCAGTATTGTGCACCTTGTCTTTGTCAAAATTTCCATACAAATGTGCTATCGTCAACGACATTTTGCTATGACAATTTAACACGAAATGGCATTCAAAAGCAGAAACAAGAATTGGAATTTAATATAAAATTATTGGCGTATTAGCGTGCGTCGTCGACGAAGTCAACGAGATTATTAAAACGAGCTTACGTGGTTCATTTGCTAAGGATCAGCGGCTTGATGGAATTTTGTACGCATTATTGAAAGAGACACGCGAAGGGTAGATAAGTTACGGACTAAAAGGTATTTTAATGTCAGCATTTATTAAAAACTCCATTAGGTGGTGACAAAGTAACCTTCATAATTACGGCGCTGGGAGTTTAAAAGTAGAAGTTGCCAGCTAACTTTTATTAGATGGCAAAAATGAATAATGTTTTTGTTTGGTCCAAGTATAACTCCCAGTGGAACCCTTAACATTAAATAATTGGTAGGTTAGTGTAACAAAAATCCAGCACTTGTATTTTTTGATTTGGTGTTAAGGGTAATTCAATACAATTAATTCGAATCAATTTCAGGATGTTCTTATTCACCTTTACTTGTGTACTTAGCATAAATGATATAGAAAACATTACAAAACAAATACATTCAGTCAACAAAGTATCGGGAATGAATGTTTTTTTATGGTTCCAAATTCGAATTTTTATTTTTTTTGTTGTTGTTAGATTGGCATAACTGTTTTCCATTTTGGCGCGGAATTTGAGTGGCATCTGTCATTTATATTAAAAACAGTGCTGTTTTTAGTTTTATAATATCAGTGTGTATTGCGAATTTCATAATGGACAAAAACATCGAACAAAGAGTTTGTCTCAAATTTTGCATCGCCAATGAAATTTCGTGTTCGGAGGCACTCAAAATGTTACAGAAGGCTTACGGTGAATCGACTTTATCAAAAACACGTGCTTATGAGTGGTACAAAGCGTTCAAAAGCGGTCGAGATGTGATGGAAGATTTGTCTCGTTCTGGTAGGCCATCAACGTCTGCAACTGAAGTTAACATCGCAAAAGTGAAGGAAATTGTTACTGAAAATCCTTATTCAAGTTTGAGAGAGATGGCCGCCGAACTTTCTGTATCTCACGAGTCGATCCGTACCATTTTAACAAATAATTTGGGTATGAAACGTGTTGCCGCTCGGCTAGTCCCAAAAGACCTAAATTTTCTTCAAAAACTAAATCGCATGAAAGTCGCTGAGGACATGCTAGAACGAGTCAATACCGACCCAACATTCATGAAACGCATTGTTACTGGTGACGAGATGTGGGTTTACGAGTTTGACATGCAAACTAGTCAACAAGCTTCGGAATGGCGCCTTCCAACTGAACCAAAACCGAAAAAACCACGTCAAAGTCGATCAAAAGTCAAAGTCATGTTGACTGTTTTCTTTGACTATCGCGGTGTTGTGCACTCAGAATTTTTGCTCGAAGGTCAAACGGTAAATAAAGAATATTATTTGAGCGTTATGCGGCGTTTAAGAGAACAAATTCGACGAAAAAGGCCAGAAATGTGGAAAGAAAATTCTTGGATTTTGCATCACGATAATGCGCCTTCGCACAAGGCCATCATTGTAAACGATTTTTTGTCCAAACACTCAACAAACACCATCGAGCAGCCACCATATTCACCAGATATGGCGCCAGCCGACTTCTTTCTTTTTCTTACACTCAAATTACCCCTTCGTGGCACCCGTTTTCAATCGTTAGAAGACATAAAGGAGAATTCGCGGCGAGCACTGAACTCAATTCCGGAAACAGCGTTTAAAAAAAGTTTCGATGATTGGATTATTCATTGGCGTAAGAGTATCGTTTCTGAAGGAGCATAGTTTGAAGGTGATAAAATAAATTTAGATGAATAACAAACATTTTGTGTATTATTGACTTTTTCCCGGTACTTTCTTGACAGAGTAGTACCTATATCGTATAAAAATTATAAAACAGTTACTAACCAGGTTCTTGAGCTTCAGAAGTATCTGTGTCATCGGCATCGTGGAGGAAATTGGCGAAATGTAATGCGGCAAGATCGGAGTGTGCGTCTCTCAGTGCGGCCTGTGATCGCACGTAGCGACGCCGCGCTCGTGCCCCGGCGGCAGCTGCCCGCCATCGCCAAGTACACCGACCCGACACTACGTTTTCCGATATTAAATTTTCTGTTGGAAGTAATAAGGACTATTATTGAAAAGCTGAAACATGTTTCTATTATTGATATTGGTGTCTTTTGTAACAAATATAATAATAAAGAATCCTTTTTTGAAGTAAGGTAATTTGAGAAAGAAAACAAAAAACTATTTGACATTATTAGTATTATTAACACAGAGACATGATTTTTACAAACTCAGTAAAAGGTATGGAAGACCTACACCTCTAGTTATTTCTACTTTCTAAGACTATTAAGTCACCACTAGTGTACCGTGAAGGAAAACATGGCGAGGAAATCTGCACTAATAATGTTCTAATTATAAGTTTTAAATCACCAATCCGCTTTGAGCAAGCGTGGAAATTAATAAGTACTCAACTTTTCTCTGCGGTTCTTGGCAAATGTGATCTGATGTGAATAAGATCTTTTTTTATATGAATATCATGTCTACATAGATAAACTATTAAAGTTTAATAAGTAGTAACACAAATACAATAAAAGTAGCCACCAATAAATGTAATGTTTTTCGTATCAATGTTGTTCCATAATCCGTCAGTTTTGCAGACATCGTGTAATAATATCGAAAGGGAATTATTGGAACGAATGTTATTGGTCGTATAGAATTTATTCTTCTGGTTTTTGCAATTATTTTTCGGTCGGCACCTAACTCTTCAATTCAGCTAAATGGCACGAATGTCTTCGAGTTTGGTTAGACCATTAGGTGTTTGGAATATAAACTATTTTAGGTCAAACAGTATCGCTACTTTTTGTTTAAACTTTGCACATAATAACGAATCTATTATTATGGTGTAAGTAACCGTCATAGTCTCACTGTAATAAATACTTTATAATTCAAACATTTAGGTTTCTTTTTTACTAATTGAGTACTTTCTCTTTTTTGAGAGTGGATATTTATTAAATGGCATCTCTCGCCCAGGGTAAGGCGAAAGGTATTCTTAGACTCTTGCTGACTAAAAACCACCCATACCTTGTCCTGCTCCAGGCCGAGACCGCTATTAGGTACTGGACAGTCAAATTGATACTTTTTCAAAGTGTCAAAGTTGGTAGTTCCATGAATTTTGTACGATATTGATATCTACTTAACACACGCTTAAAGTTAAAGCTCTTGAAATCCTTTTTCCTTTTTTTTGCTTGACGTTCAAGAGTGCCTACTGTAGTCTAATTGAAATAAATGATTTTGACTTTGACTTTGACACAAAAACAAAAATAAATTCATAAAAGCTAGGTATGCATCTGTAGCAGGTATTTCGATAAGCTTAAAAACGTTGTACACTATATTAAAATGAAATTGGTTCAATCAGAGGATTAAAAGTGGTGTTGATGCGATAAAATAATTATGGTTGTACTGTTGGAAAAATATTGACAACATTACTGATAGTATTCAATTGTTTTGTTTCAATCGAAAATGTTTCGTTAAGTAAATAGAGGTTCAATTATAGAGAGAAAATTATAATCGGGTACTGATTCTAACCTATGTATATTATCAAAAAAATATTTTATTTTCAATCACTAAATGCTACAACCCTAACTAATTTAGAATAAAAAAAGATTTTTTTTAATAACGGAAATTTAAAATAACAATGCATTGCATTGTTTCGCATCGACGAATATTTTATGCATGTAACATATTGTTTATTTCCGTATCACTCATAAGCAAAATTTTATGTTCTAGGAAATGGAATGGAAGATTCTAGAATTTATTCATATTCCATATTTTTATTTATATGGAATTCAAATTACTTGGAATAAAAATATTGTTTGTATTCATAGAATGCAGCTCTATATCCATTCCGCGACAACGTTCCAGTAAACTTCTTCATTACTTTAAACGATATGGGAAATTGAAAACACATTTCCACAGTTTAGAGACACAATTAGATCTTTAAAGTTACCAATAATATACCAACATAAAATGTGTCCATGTTAGGATTACTCCCATGTTTTGAGAGGGCTCGCAAACCCATAATTTCATATATACACATCGCACTCAAAGTTGTGCCATACGGGATTCGAACCCGCAGCAAGATGTATGGCAGTTAGTGCAGTCAAAATATTACAAAATTGAAGAGTTTGTTTAAAAACGCTAATCTTAGTAGATTAGTACTGATATGAATTGATATATTGTTTAGGCGTTGGATAGTATGTTGTAGTACGAAACTAAATGTGGAAGAGCCATGCTTTGGACTAAAATATGGGCTGACTCGACCGCAGTGATACAATGGCCACACAGAAAACTGGCGTGAAGCGTTCTATTTCGTCATGTGTATGAAGTTACCGCAGGTCCGATCCTCCCCTTCTTCTCTTTTCTTATCACACGAAGAAATTTTGAGCATTAAACACCACGCTTGTTTAAAGCGGATTGGCGATTTTCCCTTTCCAATCCCTCCCCAATCCCTAAATCCCCAAAACCCCTTATCCCCATAATATCGGCAATACATTTACAACTCCTTTAATATTGCCGTCATAGTATGGCTTACCATCAGATAATATGTACGCTCGTTTGCCTCCATTAAACATAAAAGTAAACCTGTACCTACAATGAGACGAGTACTGGTTACAGGTATAAAAGTAAAATACTAAACATAATAAGAATAGTGTTCATAAAAGTAAGATAAACTTTTACTGACATGACAGTAGCAGAACTGTACAGTAATATGATACTTACTCATCATATATTTAGCGACACATATGGTAGAGAAGTTAAAGTTTGCGTCCTTCAGTGTAATAACCGCGTCGCTGTTGCTGGTCGGCATTAGTAGCTCCAACAGTTCTAGTTCAGTCAGCCCGAACTCCGAACAAGTTATGTAACCTACGGATAATGCAAGAATTGTTTCAAACAACTCCCAAACATTTGCACATGTTGTAAAACTCTATAGAAAACGCTTATATACTCACTGGCTAATTTACTAAACGCTTTAGAACCAAAGAGGACTTCTAAGTTATCGAAGGCACCATCAATATAGTCTCCATAGCTATTATTCTCCGGAGTCTCCTCTATCGCGTCCAACAAATAGTAACAGTTCTGAACTTTGAACTTTTCCTTCTGAGCCGGCGTCAGCTGCAGTTGTTCCAAAGATACGGCACTAGTGCACACGAGAAACACATTTCTTGGCAACGACATCGGCAGCCAAGACAAACCTGTCACTATATCACATTCCAAGGGATTCACTCTATGCACATTATCGATAAATATCAACAAAATCTCATTTTCCATCTCCTCACATTTTCTAAGCAGGCTTTGAAACCAATTGTTTATATAGAGAGGGTCGAAACTCGCGTCTTTTGGCAAGTAACCTTCGGGAATGTTTAAAATTATCGATATTTGTTGACACATCACTCGAAGCAGTTCCAAATTGTAGGCCGATCTTGGTGTTGAAGCGGAAAATCTTACTATCCTTAAAACTGGCTTCGGGAAAATTTCTTCGCACTTGAAGTAAAGATGTGTCAATAAAGTGCTTTTTCCTGAAGCGTCTGGTCCATATATTAAAGCTGGTGGATGCCGTGTTCGATTTTCGTAATTTTCCTTAGCGTTATTTAAAATACTTTTGGCTGCTTCTTCAATTTGCTTAACGTTAACCTTATACAAACGATTATGTTCTATACATATCCTAAGATGAGTGATGTGTTCCAGAAATACTTCCTGAAAGTTAAAACGAAAGCCAATAAATTATTCATGCGAGCAAAGTTGTCACGTGACGAAAGTTAAGTTCGACATTAGAGACTTTAAACTTGTAAGTGAGTTATTTGATGTCTTCTTGAGGCACGTACGAGAGAATTCGTTCAAGGAGAATTTCGAAGACTTGTGGCTGTCAAAATTGCATATAATTTTGAAATGGAGAAGTCTTTTATACTTTTCAAAGTTTATTTAAATGATTCACCAACCTGTACAGTCTTTTTTCTTCCCTTTCCCTGATCGGGCTCGGTGCTAAGGCTCTCGTCAACTAGCGAACAGACCACTACTTGCACCTTCTCTCTTAAAGGAGCTAATTTTTCTTCGTTGTCAGATGCTCCGTCTGTTCTCGACGAATCCGCTGAAGATGCCCTAAGAAAGATAAAATATAACCACATTATTTCTTAGGAGAAACACTGTAATCCTATTCGTTCCGCTTATAATTGAGATCATTGTCAATAAAAAATACGTACTGGTTCATATTATCTTTTTATTTTATTTGACATAGTAATCAAATTAAAAGAGTGGGTGATACATTCTTCAGCACCAACTGTGCGGCTTGACCGAAGTTATACACCGGCCTTACAGAAAGCTTGCGACAATTACAGCGTTGTGTTTCGCCATGTAAATAACCTTAATAGAGGCCTATTCTTACCACTTCCTCGTGCACTCCCAATCTCCAAAATCCAACCTCTTATACCCAAGTACATGCACATGATTGATTGATTATTATCGGGTAATCCATCTGCATCCATAAAGTTAAACAACTTTATGTGGTACCACGGTATCACTTGTAATACCGTGGTACCACATAAAAAGATATTATCTACACTTATGGCCTCAGTGATTATTATATTTGCAATTAATTGACTGAAAAAAACATAGTAATAACATACATAAACCCAATTCTGACTCTATTTGTTATATATTTTAGAACTTCAATTTTCAACTTAGAAATTCAACGGCACTACGTTTCGAGGATTGGTTGAAGAAAATACTCTAGTTTCCGCTGTTGGTCAAGATAAAATAGATCTATAAACTTCACTGGACATTTTATAAATGACATTCACTGTTCCGAAGCTATCTAAGGAATTGCCAACAGTTGCCAAAAGTTGTTATCGGGCACTGCATTTAAAAAAGTTAGAAGCTGGATATAGGAATAGTATTTTCGAAAACCTATGTATATTGTTTTTATAATTTGTTTTATTTTAGACCGAAATTATATTACTATGAACTTTTTTGCTCATTAAAATTACTGTTAATGTTCTTTGTCATAGCATTCATATTCAGTTTGAAAACCTTATTACCAGTTAGCACTAAACATTGATCTTAATTAATTCATAATTTAAAAGCCCCAAAATTCATTATTTCATTAACTTTTACATTAATGAGAAAGGTTGAAAGTTCAGCTCTGAGTCAGAAGCTATTAAATATAATCATCATTTTATACTTAACTATGATGTATGATAATGGAATTTTGAATAAAATATTCGATGAGATAAAATTTTAATGAATTTGGAATTCCATTTAGGTGATTGATAATGGTTCAATAATATTAATGTTATTAAGCGATGATCTAGGGAAAATAAATTATACCCACGGTGCCAAAAGGATTACATTTTACGAAATGCACAGCTAACGATTTTCGACGCAAAAACTCATTCAGCTAAAGTTCTTATCTCTTTCTAAGTGGTTTCTGAGAAAGGAAAAATAATACTAAAAGCGTAAAATGTTAATCTTTAACGTCCTGTAGGAGGAATCCCTAAAGCGCTGTTCATTTTGCACTACTCTTAAAATGCCTTGAGGCAGAAGGAAAATCTAAAGGAGCCATTTCATTCACAAACATTTAGAAAGAAAATAAAACTATTAATAGATGGGGTTTTCCTTTATAAGGAAAATATTATTTCTTTTCCTTTTATTCTCTTTGACGTAACTTGACTTGGAACATGTACCTCGTACATGACGTTAAATGCGACAAAGATTGACAATACAAAAAGCCAAAACACCTTTTGTTCGGGTACCTTTTGTTGTTTTAATCTGAAGCCAGGATCGGGCCGTCAGGGTCAAAATCGTTATGGAATTTGTCAATGGTGAAAAGGAAAATAGATATTATTTTTTCTTTGATTGTTTCGTTTGGTTCATGTGGTTGTAAACAAGGCGGATAAACAGGATTTCCGTGGGTTTCGATTGTCAAACGATCTATGATATGGAATTAGGCACATTTTTTTTATTTGTTTGTATTGTCTACAGTACGCATTTTGGAATATATGTATATACAAAATATTTAGGACTTTCTTATATTTGTATGTTAAACATAATTTTATCAAAGATTCCTAAAATTTAAACATTTTTATACTAAACTTTGCTGTTTGTACGTATCATATTATAAATATTACGCGGATTGTAACCTTTGTTAAATAGTGTATATCTACTATTTTTCACACTAAGATTTTCTCCTGTGTTTTTAGTGCATTTACAAACATATAATTTCATATACACATCATACCCAGACCCGGAACAACAATTTGTGGATCACACAAAGAGTTGTGCCGTGCCGGAATCCCAGTAGCCGCCAGTAGTCTTGTTGCACAGCCGCCGCACCAACCGTGCAGTCAAACAGTATAGGCAGTTAATAGGCATATTATAGTGACCAAGCTAATAAATAGTTTATAATACTGTTACAAATTTAATATACTTACTCTAGAGTGATGACATGTGTATCAGGTAAAGCATCCTCCAGCTTTTTCCTTAATTCTTTTAACCTAGTGTGGGCTAGCGCTGCTATCTTAGAGTCGTCTGGTTCCAAATCCGGTACGTCTCTGAACACCGCTATCATGCCCTTTGGATGATTTCCGTTGGAAAGGAGATCTGAAAAGAAACATTGGGTTAGTTTCAAATTTATAATTGTTTGTTGGCAATTTGAGTTTTGGATGAGAAGGAAATGAATTACTGTATTTAAGGATGATCGAAGAGTTGAATGCAGTATTTAAAGGTTAAACGACCTAGGTCTGTCCGTAAATAAATATCCATCAATATTAATTTCATCATCATTTTTAAATTGAACTCTACAACCACGCTCTACATATTTAAATAAATTATTTATATTTGGAAATATTTTATTTTATTGTGTAAAAAATGTACATAAATTCCACGAAATTTAAAAATAAATAAATAAAAAAGTATACAACAACAGCACACATCATACGTAAATAATGTACATTGGAATGTAGTTGCACAATACGAGTATGCCAACATTGTTTGGAACAATAGGTACATGCAGATTAAAAGTTGGTCAAAAATATTTCCAGAACTCAGAGAAACGCAATCCTTTTAGTAACGAGAATCGGAATGAAATATGATAGTTTGTGTTTGTTTCGTTTTTTTCCCATATTGAAAAAGGACAGGAGAAGAAACGGAGTGTGTTTTTTAAATAAGTGAGAGTTTGTCAGGGTTTGCGACGGACTCACACACACCATGTAAGAGAAGTCAATTGAAAATATTCCCCCTGAGAATGATTTTACTTGAAAATCATTTTCTTGCGTGTGTTGGGTGCCCAATGAAAGCATACCTATATTATGGCAATATATTTTTATTTTCTTGTTTGTCTTTTCTTATATTTAGTTTAGAATTACTCAAAATCCTGCCTCAACAATTTGCAGGCAAACCTTCGAGGTCACGTGTGAATCGAGTGGGGAATTTAGGTGTCCACCCAGTGACTTTAGGAAGCACGGTGCCACAGTGGTCATGCACAGCCCACAGCGAGGCTTAAAGAAGTCATGTGGGTCTCGATAGGGATGTGCCGTAACAGGCATTGCACTGTAAGGACTTCGGAGTCTACTGAGAGAACACGGTGTCCCTAATAGTGTTGGGGGCCACCAGGGAGATATTTTAGTGTGGTAAAAATACCACAATCACCGGTCTTTTTTCCCCCAAAAGGTAAGCGTCTCTTGAAGTATATCACAAAACAAAAAAAAAGTTTCAGTTTACAGATTTCTTTTTTGTGTTTGATATTTTGTAGACAAAATTATTTCTAACTTTGTGATTGTTTTAATTTATTTGTCATAGAATACATCGATATAACGATCATATATCACATTTTTAATTATAAATATTTTATCATACTTAGTTTATTGTAATAATTCGTGTGTTTTATTATAAGCTAATAGCTTTTCTAGAATCAACGCACCTTTATAAGATGGTTATCCTGTATCCCCTTTATAAATTAATTTGCTTAGATATTCATTAAAGGCACTAATTGGTAATTGGTAGTAGCCTATCTCAAATATTGATTTCTGGTAATTAATTTGTACATTCATTGTTGTTGTTTACCTACTGTTGACAAATCTGTCTTTGTCTTGACTGTTTTTTGTGTTAAATTACATCTGTAATTATAGGTAACTAGCTAATCTCGCACGGTTTCACCCGCTGCTCAGCTCTATTTGATCGTAGCGTGATGTTTTATAGCCTATAGCACTCAGGCACATTGTAGCTATCTATCAGGGAAAGAATTTTGGCAATCCGACCAGCGGTTCTTAAGATTACCCCCTACATACAAACTTACAAATTTTACCTCTATATAATATTAGTTAGTAGGTATAGAAGTATAGATAATTGAAAAAGCTTTTGAACAAATGTTCTTTATTTTAATGCAATCAGAAATCACGGGTTTCAATAACAGTCACCCTTTATAAAATGTGTAGAGAAAAGCTCTACTAGTTTCAAGTAACAACAGGACTCTTATTTATGAGTAGCGAGCGCGTCGAGGCGACGTCGCGCTGTCATCCGACTGTTGACTTTCAAAAAATAAATTCAAAGGTAGCAGTGTCTCAATCCACATATAAATATGACGGTGCGTCGATTATTTAAATTGAATTTTAAAGGAGGTTTTATCACAATTCATCGGACGAGGGTACAATGAATCGTACTCTGGCGGAACGTCAAATGTCAAATGGAGTTCTGAGTGCGCATTATGGTGGAGAGCGAGCGCTGTGAATCATATGAGACGGATCGCCGACGTCCGTTATTTTTGTAATTTATTCGGTCTGATTATAAAATCCTACGCCTTGCGATGGACTGTGAAGACGATGATCGGGATGTTGATGTTTGTACCACCCCCAGGGGCCTTCAAATTGAAATAAAATGTTTTGGAATTTAGTAAAGAACTATCGTGAGACATACTTAATTTATTAAATAGTTGCTCAAAGTAAGAGATTTGCTTTCTTCTGCTCAAGAGTAAGAAGAAAGAGTAAGAAGATGTGAAAATAAAAAAAAAATCTAATACTTACTTAAAGCTAATTCGCATTGAAGTTCGACGGGGCTTCGGAGCAGGTTGGTCACATCAGCACCATTGGCTAAAGCTTCCAGAGCTATGGTGTTAAACGCCTTCTGGACCTCGAAGAGACGATTCCTCTGTTCTTCACGATCCATTAAATCGTTGAACCTGTGAAATAAATCTGATATTATTTAATTGAAAACAATAAAATATGTAAAATATTTAGAAGTTGGATAAGAATGAAAGAGTATTTTCTCATTTTTGTTTTATTATGTTACTTTAAGAAACAGTTCAGTTAGTTTCACAGGTAATTAATGAAGACAAAAATACATAACTCATAAAGCTATATTGTTTTCTTTTATAAACCATATATTTTCGTTTGTTAATATCACATATGTAAATAATTCGTCTTAAACGTTTACTCTTTTATGGCAGTGAAACACAAAAAGGATGGTACCTACATAACATGATGAGACATTTTTCGAAAATAAATCTAAAGAAATATATTGCAGTCGTCCGTTATAGCCTGCAATAGATTTAATGGCAATATTTACTTCTAGCATTATGAATCATAAAAGTAAAATATTACAAAAACTTTTCGTTCTCGAGACATTATTTTCCAAGTTCGTGACAAGCCTCCAGGAAGGGTGCTGTTACATACAACTTACACGCAAACTTGTCGCTATCATGCGAAATACATATTGAAGACAAAAACAATAGGACATAGTGACATATAGTATCATTATTTGTATGTGTACGAGATTTCCTTGAACAACATACACATGTATATAACAAGGGCTAGCAAGCTATCCCTGCTTTGCACGAGTACAATGCTGATACCAAATTTCTCCGCTGTTTAACAGATGTTATTATACAAATATATACATATATTAACTTGCCTCTTTAATCACTCTACGGCATAAAAATCCGTTGGGAAGTTTTAAAGGTGCATAGAGGTATAGGGATAGAGTAAGCGACTCTTTTATACTATGATGTGATTAAATCTGTGACATAATAAACTATTATTCACAAAACAAATAACACATAAGTACATTTATATGCAGTTATACTTATTATTGCATTCATGTTCTCACATTCTCCTAGGCGCCGTGTTCTACTGAGAAATTTTATTAGACCATTTTCCTACATAAGGTATTCCTTTAAACGTTACCATAAAACAGTAAAAACCCCAGTATTCATAGTAAGAAAGTTTCTATATTATTATAAGGCAGATCAAGTTACTAAATATTTTCTTAATAAAATTGTATTTCAGTGATAAAGTGTATGTAAGTCTAAGTGTGCCACTCCTCCAACGAATGATCGATGACGACCCATTGATATCGTTTTGAAGACTTCCTGAGTATCCTTGTAAATGATCGGGGACATTCCGTTGATTGCATCGATACTCAGTAATGGTATCGAACTCCCGAAACTGTTACCAATCACATTACGTGGTTTTTGTTACGTGGTTTTTGTAAATAGATACTAAGATATAGATATAGGTGCCTACATATGTATTTTGTATGAATTTTACAACATTTTAAAATAAAATTGTAGATATAGTAAGTTTAAACTTGTGTTTAGAATTTTATTCGATAAATAACTAAGGCTCAATAATTATAGGAATTTCGATAAGAGAAACTTTGTTTGACTCGCAACATCCCAAAACCGCTGCAACTCCTGTAAGCCAGGATCTACAGTTGATACATACAGGACAACACCGGAACACTGAAGTCCGGTGCATCCCAGGGGCATGAATTCTTATCTTCAGCTAGTTGCAACTTACTGAACCTCGGGTATTTAAGGCGAGAAAGAGTAGAGACCCCCTTTTTTGTTGGGAAACCACAAATGACCTCTCCCGCCCAGGGTAAGGCGAGAAAGAGTATCAGACTCCTACTGACTAAAAAGCACCCCCTTCCTTCTCTTGTTTCAGGCCAAGACTGCAGTGCCTAATTGCGCTTGCCCTGCAGCCCCGGCAACCTTCGAGTGTCTAAACTGTTAATGAATCACTTGATGGCATCGATCAGCGTCCTCAGGGACATAAGAGGAGCCCTTTTAAAATGAGTGCACTCTTTTCCTGAATGTAAAAAGAAGGTGTTGTTGCAGGTGTCCATGGGCGGCGCCGATCGCCTACCATCAGGTGGTCCGTCTGCTTGTTTGCCTCCTATTCCATAAAAAAAAGAGGGGCGTGGGATTTAAGTTCATAGTTTTCTTTTCTGTATGAATGTTAAACTATTCATAACTTAGTTGATTGTAGATGGAAAAAACTGAGCAATATAAATAAAACCTTTTTGATTGTTCATACAAAAAAACTGAGAAATATATTTATAGCTGCCTCATAATTAAATAATATAAAGGTTAATTCTGTTACAAAATAATTATTTATCAAAGGAAAGTCTTATTATAATACCTTTGTAATATAAAACGCTACAGGCTAATAATCCATCTATTTGTGTACTATCAATATTGAAAGAATAGCGTAACTTGGTTTTATTAATAACACAAAAGGAAAACAGAAGGGAAGAATCTTTTGTGCAGAAAAATCCTTGATTAACGTGGGAGAGCAAAATCCTGCAGGAATGGGTCGGGTCGAGTTATACCACGGCCTCACTGAAAACCGGCGTGAAACAGTCACAGCGCCAGCGTGGTGTTTCGACGTGTGAGTGTCAATCCTTCCCCTCCACCCATCCGTCCCTAATCCTAAAATAATCGAAAAACCCCCAAAACATGATAGTAGGACCTTTAGTACCGTAAATAGCAAAGCATCCACTTTTACCACCAAGTTTTTAGTCCATTTAGTCCAAATTAAACCCCCTATTTGCAATAATTCGGCAATCAGACCTGTAATCATTTGTAACAAGTCCACCAACGGATCTTAGCAGTTGTTGTAATAAAACAAAATTATGGATCATTAAAAAAAGCATTCATTGTAAAGTTTCCTAGCTATGAAAACATTTAAAAAACAAGATCAAATTACTTCGCCCGCCCAAAATGGGCTGAGAGGGAACGTCAGACTCTTACTGACTAAAAACCACCCAGTTTCTTCTCCTGCCCCTATTGGTACGTGGTAGATACATTATTGCACATGCAGGTCAGTCTCAGTTGGAGGTGTAACAATATTTATGTTGAAAACCTCTCCCAGATAAACGATAAATTATTTATTTTACGACCCTAGTGAGTAATCGTAGCCTCGTGCTTAGGCAAGGCTCATAAATTGTAACGACCTAAATAGATGGCTGCGATAAGGGATGCTTCAAACTTATAAGTATAATAGTTTAAGAATTTTAGCACAAATATATTGATAGTGAAGGAAGAAAGAGTATTAATTTTATTGTGATAGAACCTTTTTTATAGATAACTAGCTACTCGCCCGGCTTCGCACGGGTGCAAATGTGCATCTCTAAATGGATGTTATCAACCACTATTAAAAAAAAATAGGTTTAAAGATTTAAGCGTACATAAGGATATATGGACAGAGCAGAGAAAGCGACTTTGTAAGCGACTTTGTTTTCAACTATGTACTGACGTATCTGTTTCATTTTATGTCGATTAATATCAAAAGAAATTACCTATAAAATTTTTAGATTTTGTTTTGTAGTTGGTTAATTTTCTTCTCTCAGTGTAATAAATATTATTGGTTGTACCTTGGTCAAATTTTGGCTACCGACAACAACCTAAACTATTAACTTTAATTCTCGGGACGACATCAATATCTATTGGTCATACGATTTTAGAACTTCTCGATTTTATCACAAGATTAATAATTGTGTCTTATGATAGAGCAAATACATAAGTAGCTTAACTAAATTACTCTGAGTCGTTAACTGGTTACTGAACGCCGTTGTATAGGTAAGTACTTAAAAGGGCCATCCCCAAACCTTTGGCAACTGTTTTCGAGACAAAATTATAAGTGATATTTTTTAAGTTATCATTAAATGTGATAGAATACGGGAGTAATTACAGTTTTATTTTGAGTTTCTAGATTTCTAGATTCAAATAACCAGCATCAACGAGATTTTATAATAATACGCTAAACAGAAACAAAAATAAACGATTCAACCTTGAAGTTTCTCTCAAAGTCTTACACTTACTAAGAAATTCTCCTCGAATTTAGAATACTTTTCTAACTTACCACTTATCCTCCCCTTCGAGGTGGTAGCTGCCATCTCCGTTTAATCGGTAACAAGCTCGGACGAGGTCTGCTTGCACCGAATCTGACTTGACCAGCTCATCGAAGGTGGCTTCAGGGATTTGGTAGGGAAGTACTGGCTGGTACGATGACGCGTCGCCACCGATGAGGCACTGTTTATAAAAAAGAAATACATTTAAAAAAAAAAGAATGTTGATATTTTGTCAATGTAATTTTTTTACATTTACCTATAGTTTTATATTGAAGATATGTTAGAAACTTTTTATTAAACATTTCATTTATTTAAGTCGATTGTAAAGATATCAAAACCTGAATCAAGCCTATTTTAAATTAACAAAGAGATTCATTAGCAGTCTTAGGATTATCTTATCGTGTTTAATGATAATTTCAAACTAGGTACTTCATTAAAAATTTTACATTTTCGTTTCAAAGTTTTCTAGCATTCAAAGCAAGACCATTTAATAAAAATTATAAACATTCTTAAAACGATGTCCATTTTTATTTTCATTATACGTTAATAATATAATTATTAATACTGTCTGAGCCATTTTACTCTTTAAAAAAAGAACTTATAATAAAAGACTTTTTTGTTAAAAATGGCCGTAACGACTAAGTTTTAAATTACTCGTTGCAATTTAGTTTAATTAATGTCTAAGGAGACTTTTTTTAATTCTTAATTGTGAATGACTTGGTACAAAATAGGTGATTAAGTATTAAAGTTATTTTAATTTTGATGATAACTGAGAAATATTTTTTTAAATTGACACATGTAGGTACCCAATCAAAATTATTTTAGACGGTATAATGTAAGTCATAAAATTCTAAACAATAAAGATTTTCTCATCAAATATATTGCCATAAGCCATGTAGAAAAAAAGATTACTTTCAGAAAAATCCCGCTACAAAATACCTAATTGTCTTTCAATAAATGTAGAAAGGGAGATACGTATTTACTTTATGCTAATAGGATTTAGTTGCGAAGTTTTAATACTTTGTTTGTTGTTTCATTTTCCACATGTTTAACTATTTTATCCTTTAAGTGTACGTGGTGGCCCGGAGGTTAAGGTGCCCGCTTCTCATGCATGAGAGTGTGGGTTCGAAACCTGGCAAGTACCAATGTGACTTTTTCCGAGTTATATGTACTTTCTATGATTATAATAGACACCACTGACATACGGTGAAGTTAAACATCGTGAGGAAACCTGGACTTATAATTTCTAATTATAAGTTTGAAATCGCCAACCCGCATTGAGCAAGCGTGGTGATTAATGCTCTAACCTTCTCCGTATGAGAAGAGGCCTTTGCTCAGCAGTGGGCACTTATAGGCTGATGATGATGATGATGATCCTTTAAGTCCTTAAATGTAATTTAAATTGGATACCGAAACAGTTTGGTGTTTTAGTTGTAAGATTACTTGTTAGATACAAAATATAATTAAATTTTCTTTATTATTAATCGAAAGATAGGTACAGATAATAATAACACACGTGAGTAATAGACAATTTATTTGAAATTATATGTTTTAACTTACTCCCAAAACTAAGCAAAGGCAATAAACCCATTCAGCTTAATTACGTTATAAAAAAAGAATTTAATTTAATGCTATGATAACTATTGACGCAATTATAATTTTATTTTTCAAACCGAGATTTCGAATTTAGCAAATGTTTATTTTTATTTGTTTAAATTAACAAATAAACGCTATTGAAATAATTTTATTTACATTTTTAATATTTTATTATTATTTTCGCAACGGCGGAGATGTATGATTAGGTATGTTATTAAAAATGCTAAACAATACAAACACAAAAAATACAATTAGGTATATTGGTAAAATCATATTTTTAAACAGGCTGATAATATAAAATATTTGAAGTTGAAGTTAAACATCGTGAGGAAACCTGGACTTATAATTTCTAATTATAAGTTTGAAATCGCCAACCCGCATTGAGCAAGCGTGGTGATTAATGCTCTAACCTTCTCCGTATGAGAAGAGGCCTTTGCTCAGCAGTGGGCACTTATAGGCTGATGATGATGATGATGATCCTTTAAGTCCTTAAATGTAATTTAAATTGGATACCGAAACAGTTTGGTGTTTTAGTTGTAAGATTACTTGTTAGATACAAAATATAATTTAATTTTCTTTATTATTAATCGAAAGATAGGTACAGATAATAATAACACACGTGAGTAATAGACAATTTATTTGAAATTATATGTTTTAACTTACTCCCAAAACTAAGCAAAGGCAATAAACCCATTCAGCTTAATTACGTTATAAAAAAAGAATTTAATTTAATGCTATGATAACTATTGACGCAATTATAATTTTATTTTTCAAACCGAGATTTCGAATTTAGCAAATGTTTATTTTTATTTGTTTAAATTAACAAATAAACGCTATTGAAATAATTTTATTTACATTTTTAATATTTTATTATTATTTTCGCAACGGCGGAGATGTATGATTAGGTATGTTATTAAAAATGCTAAACAATACAAACACAAAAAATACAATTAGGTATATTGGTAAAATCATATTTTTAAACAGGCTGATAATATAAAATATTTTAAATTAAGAATTCAATGGCATTTTTAAAAGCAGCCAGAATAAATCGTTTTCGGAGGCTAGTCAGTAAAAAGGATTATCACGACATCATTTTTTGTTGTGTGATACCTAAGAACATGTTAGAATATGTGTATGTTTAACATGAATATTGTTAAGTTAGAATATCTTGATAATGATAGTTTAATAAAAAATATTTAAATAAATACCTATTCATGACCAAATTAACGATATACCAGCCTTTTTTTTGTGAGGGGAAAATCATCAAATGAGTGTCAGACTCTTACTGAATAAAAACCCCCCTGTTCCTTCTCCTGCTCTAGGCCGAGGTCGCGGTGCCTCATTGCGCTTACCCCGCAACCCCGGCTGAACATCAGCCCTATGGGGCCCCGTCTGTGGTGGTCTATTGGCTCTTTGTGGCGCGCGCGGAACACTATGCGCCGTACGCTCGGGTCTGGTCGGGCGGCGAGCTACCAACGATATACCAGCCTTGTAAAGAACATTAGTAATACTTACCAGAAAATATCCAGCTTTCGATGTTTGATTACAGCATTTGATTTCTTCGAGGTAGTGGTGTAGTAATGAAGGATTGGTTTCGTCCCCACCGTCGGTACCATAGTGCATGTCCACGAACTCGATCTAAGAGGAAAAAGGAACGAAAGTTGTAGTAATAGAAATCAGTAGTTAATAATTGAGTTCTTGAGAGTAAGTAAAATTCAATGCTGAATTCTCAATTACATGTTTTCTGTGATTTTCTAAAGACTGGACTGTGTGTTGTAATTGTTGTAATGACATTGAATTTTCTTGAGCCGAATAACATACATGCTTATTAAAAATGCTAGAAAGTGTAAATAGTAAAATAATTGTATCTCAAAACAGTCAATAAATGTGTGTTTATTTTTAGTGTATGTACTATATTTAAATTGTCTCAAAAGACTATATATTTTGAATTTGACTAAAGAACATAACCTTATCAAATGTTGGGAATGTTAAAGAAAATTGCCCGTTTGAAACTATTTTCTATATCAGTTATATCTTAAATATTATAGTGCCTTTCAATAATTTCTTTCGGTAGTCAAAGTTTCCATAACTTAACTAAACTAGCTTTTTAACATTAAATTATTCTGTAGGTATCTGCACTACAGTGACAAAACGCTCCTGATACTGACATCAATACAAGTATTTATATTTGTATTGTACAAAATGGCGGATTGCAAATAGGTTTTGACGTATTTTTTGCATTCAATTCGTTTCACATGACGTGCGTTCAAATATTTTCATAGACATAAAAGTATTCACATATTTACGTTTTTAACAAAAAATATAAAACCGAAAATATTTTGCCAAAAAAAATCGAAAATGCTTTTAATCCTTTTCCTTTGAAAAGAAAACTACACGCTAGTAATATTTTTAACTTATTTTGCGTATCGTACAATTACTTAAAAACATATTTAGTATTAGTAATTAGTAATTTTACTATGCATTTCTTATTTAACAAGGGGAAGGACTGAGTATTAATGTCTCCGGTAACCCCACTATCAGAAACACAACGCTTTATTCGTGGCTTGGCTTTCCCTCATTTAAGTCAATATTTTTTTTAACTTCGTACAAAATATCTGTATCTATAGACTGAACAACTCTTCCCACCCTAGCTACACTAGCAGCTAAGATTATTGATTTATTAATCTCGCTCACAAAAACACAAATAGATTTAATAATGACCCTAGAAAATCAATTCTTATTAACCCTCGGAACTTCAATTCATCCTCCATTTAAGACTGAAGCGCTGCACATTTCGAGAAAGCCTTTAAATCGAAGCGCGAAGTTTCTTCAGACGGCGTATAAACCGCATCGTACTTACATAAGTTTCTACTTAACTTACTTTATTGAGTGGTTAAGCGGCATTTAAGTTATATTGATTTACTTTGATTGCCTTTTAGATAGTTTCCTTTAATTGTATTTCTGGAATTGGAATTTTAAAGAAATATTGCCCTGTAAACCTATCTAATGAACAACGTTTTATTGAAAGAAATCGGGCAGCGGTACTCTCTGGTAAACTTCAATCTGCAACTCTTTGTGTAATCTACCTAACGTTGTTTCGGGCCTGGGTTTGACTTGTATGTGATTGGTATGTTTATAAAACGTATTCACGGCAAAAGAGAAAATCATAAAGTAGGGGCAGCGTTAAGAGAAATTGTGTTTTGCAACTTGCCTTAAACGCATGGAGATAATGGTACTCCATCCTATTAGTAACAAGTGGCACCACATCATATCATCAGCCTACTGGAGCTGCGGTGAGGTCGCACAAGATGTTGAAGGATAAATTTACGACTGACATCATGTATTATCCTAGTGAACATCAGACAAAAGGTAGTCGTAATATTTAGAAGGCAATTCACGCCTTCTAAATATTGGTATATCAGTAATTAAAATTAATTAATTTTTTTTTTTTTGATAAAGTATTAAATAACTGATTCAACTTGAATGAACCTTTTGCTCTGATTACTTGTTCGAGTCTTCACAAAGTTTTGTAACTTTAAATTACGCAATTTTGTTTATTAATGATACAGATTATATATGTGTTTAAAGTAAGGCAGCGAACTGTGAAACTAAAATCCTAAATACGAGGGGTAACCAATAACGAAAGCAATTCCAGTCCCTTAAATCTATCTTCATACAATTAATACAATCACACGTAATCCGTTTATCACTCATTCAAATTACTTTTCAAAATGTCTGACTTTAATCTCGGCAGAATCAATTCTGTCCGTTGCCTCCATTTGTAACGGTTGCTGTCAAAGTTCCAGATGCATTTGAATTTGGAATGTAGAATGATGGCGCCCGCGGCGTACTCCATTTTGAATCAGGTACGGAGTTGTTTGAAATTTCTGTGTGATGTGGTTCATTCGTCCATTTGAAACTGTTGCTATTTTATGTGTACCATGTTCTGTTTTGTGAATGTGGTCTTTGTGTTTCATATACAGTATATTATATTAAAAGGACTAGGTAAAATGTACAAGGATATTTTTATGATTTTTAAAACAAATAGATTTTAATGGTTTTACATGTACTTGTCAAGATTATAGAAGCAAAGCTTCGTTTAAAATCTCGAAGTCATGTTTATTTTTCTTCTGCAAAGGGAGTTCCCAATTTCATTCTCATTGTAATCAGCCATACCTTTTTATTTGTGAGGAGAAAATCGTTAAATTTCTTCTACTGCCCTGGGTGGGGCTAGAGGGACTGTCAGACTCTTACCGACTAAAACCCCCTATACCTTCTTCTACTCTAGGCCAAGGCCGCGGTGCCTTATTGCGCTTCCCATGCAACCCTATCTGAATACCGAATAATCAAATGCATGATTAAACTATCAGTTGATTTTCGGCGAACCTAATTAGAAATTGGGGTCAAAGGGTTAATATGGGACCTCTAATTTAACCAGGTTAATTAATTCCGATAGCATTATAACAAGACCGCATGGCTGTCGTGAAATACACATGTGCGGCCATTTTACCTTATTTTTTGCGTTCATAATGAAATAGCTCACTGCACCAACTATTACGAAAAGCTGTTGCCTGATTTATGATATTTTTTATGTGTTAACCTTATTACTTTTACAGGTATATATTTTATACTATTTTTAATAACTTTTACGTATTTTACGATAGTTGTGCTAAGTAGCTACTATAAAAGTTTAGGGTTTGTTTTATCTTTCAACGGTGTAAGGTGTTTCAAGAGACCTTTTTCTTTCTTGCCTATTCAAATGTAAAATAAACTGAGAAAGCTTGAGAACCTTATATCTATGTATAATCTGCATTAATATAACAAAGATGAGTTTTTTGTTCGTTTCTATGCTCGTATGTTAGATTAGATGCAGCGTGCAGCGAGTGAAACCGCGCAGGAATACTTAGTATTTTAGAAATATTATTATAATTTTAATTCAGTGACTGAAGCCGTCAAAAACAATCGTATTTTACGCCGTAAATGCTCCTGTATCCTCTTTGGTGTTGTGGGTGACCAATGACCATAGTTTGCGCAGATCACTTACCATTAGGTAATCCGTCTGCTCGTTTCTTTTTATTACACAAAGGCAGATTTTAGGCAGCCTACAATACGATACTTTTCAACTTGTCAAATGCAATATTTTTATCCAAATGTCAAAAACGACACTTTTCTATGAAATTTGTACGAAAAAGTGAGTTATGACGTCATAATATTTTGGAGTCAAATAGTTTTCTTATTTCTTTAAAATTAGCTGCAAAATATCTAAAACTTAGTGTATCGACAGATCGATGAATAAAGGTATAGTTTCTTTTCAATACTTTATTGTATTGAAACGTCGATTTAATTTATTTTTGACCTAGAAAACTACCCAATTTTAGATATGTCTAAGCAAGTCAAAGCATCGTATTGAATCTTTCCCAAGTGAAAATACGAGTGACATTGAATATTTTATGACACCTTACCCTCGTTTTCAGGACTCTTTTCATGTCTAATTCTCAGCCCAAACGGGTTTCGAAGGTGTAGGTAATTAGGGATCAAGTAAAGGGCATTTGCTACCTGAGAAGTAATTTTTTCTCCTTCATGTAAAGATTTGAATATTTAAATAGGTATTAAATAAGTAAGATTTTTTGCCATTTTAAAATTAACCCCTGGTCTGTTGGAATACATATCCAAGGAAGACAAAATGCATTTTTACTATCAAATTTTTTTTGCAGGTGTTATTTTAATTCCGGAATTTCAGAAGTATTAACCCGCACTATTTTTATTTTTTTATGAGTAAGTGTTGTAGGTAAGGTAGTTGACGATATTTGTATAATAATAATTATGATACTGGAATAGGGGTTTTTAGTTTCATTTATTTATCTGTTAATTCCAAAAACGTAAATTTTTCCAACCTTCATGGTCTAATATTTTTTTATATATTTTAGGTCATTATATTGTTGGTGTACTTATTTTTAAATTAATAAAACAAATAAATTCGACTTTTAATGAAACTAAACTTAACACCTTCTTCATTTTGGAAGATACCTGTATTGGCTTATCACCAAGAAGAAATATTTGGCAGCAAGTTTTCTTGTTAAAACGCAAAGCATAAATAATAACAAAGCAACAAAAGCCGTGGTCTTGTCAGAGGGTCTTACGGATAATCCAAAATGAAATTTTCTTTCATCTCCTAAATTTTATTTGACTTTAATATTATCCTGTGGCTCTCGTGTTTTGATTGAATTAAATTAAATGAAGACGAGTACAAACGTCGTATTTTACGTCAATTTAGTCATTATTTTTAAATTCTATGCTTAGTCTTCCATCATACTTGATATTACTCTGTTAAACAAATACCTACATATACATGTAAATATATGTAGAAATACATATAGTATGTATTTCTTACGACACCATTTTTTTATCGGGGAATGTCCATCAAATGATTTCTTGGGAATGGGAAGAGCGAGAGAGAGTGTTAGACTGTTAGTGACTATACCCCGTTCCTGCTTCTACTTCAGGCCGGGGCCTAATAATCTTAAAGAACTTAGCTACGTAACGGCACAGTTATGTTTGAGTAATATAGATTATCTTCGGAATACACAGACACCCAATTTTATTGTATTTTACATTCTCTCTTTAAAATATAATCTGAAGTAGTCTATATCATGTGGTCTTGATGTCACAAACTAATTCAACTCTAAAATCTTCCTAAGACAAGGTCGAATGCTAAGCATGAGGTCTTTCTCATCCTATATGGTACACGATCACCAAATTTCAACTAAATATTCGTATAGTAGAACATGAGAAAGAGTCAAAATAATATTGACGGTCCTGAATTATTTAGCAAACATGAAGCCAACGAACAGTCAACTGTTAATAAATGTTTATCTTTCCTAATTACAAAGTAAAAGGTTAACCAAATATACACGATAGTCACAAATCTGCTCACAAGTTCCCAAACTATAAGTTCATTTACATTTAGCCGGTTAATATGTTCAGACTGCCTCTGCATCCGAAACTTCATCGTTCTCCACCGAAGTTTCGACTCTGGTCAACCGCGCTTCATTTCACAACGAAACTCGCTCCTATTGCTTACGGAATAAGGTTCTCAAGGTCAAACTTAGTTGATGTTGGTAGATTTTGTGGGAATGTAGTTTAATGGAAAGTTTGTGTAGTTGAGTAGTAATGCGATATACAGGTACTTAGTTGTTAACTGTAAGTACGTCTGTTTGGTGGTTACGTGGAAGTTTTCAGAACAGGTGTAGGGGTTCTCATAATAGAAATTGTTGTGATAAAATTAGAGACAAATTGTCGTCGCTTCTATTGAGTCGCTGTATGTAAATTGGTGTGAGGTATTATTTCGTTAAGGAAGGGTGTTCTGGTGAAGTGAAATAGGGAAGTTACATTGAGAACGGGGTTGAAAAAAAAAACAATTTTTAGCAAAGATGAGAGAAAAGTGAAAAAGGAGAGACTTCGCTAGTTCTCATTTCTGACATAATAGTCAAGGGCTTTTTCGCATTTCCTATGCGGAGTTTCCTTATTTTGCAAAATTAATGGAACCTACCTCAATATATCGATCGTCGTACGTGGACTGCAACTCTGGACCGACCATCTCCAGGATTTGTCTTCTTTCTTCACGGAATTCTGTGAAATACAAATAAAATAAAATGTTCAATAAATATTTTCTTCGCTTTATACTCTATATTTATTACTAGCTTCCGCTCGCGTGGTATGTTTATAATAAGCCTATGTAGGTAAATCCAGGGGATCAACTATTTACATAACAAATTTCAACCAAACTGGTCCAGCCGTTTTTGCGTGAAAAAATAACAAACATGCATCCGTATATCCTCACAAACTTTCTCCGGAAGTTGTAAGTAGGATAGGATAGAATCTAGATTTACAACATATTTTTTTTTAAACATTAAATCAACCCTTTTTTAAACTTTAATCAACACTATGAATATCTACGACGTTTACAATTTACATGTCCGCCCAAAATCTACGTTTAATCGAAATAAGACTGTGACTTTTAGTCACAGAAAAAAAAACACTCCGATACGCCAGGTATCAACGATTTATTTTGTTGAACTATAACTATAACTTTTCCTCTTTCACATTAGATATAAAGCAAAAATATATAATTATATATTTATACTAGTTAATTTCACGCGGTTTCATCCGCTGCTCGGCGCCCACAGAAGATAGCGTGATCTTTTGTAGCATATAGCCTTCATCAATAAATGGAATATCTAACAGTGAAAACAATTTTGAAATCAGTCCAGTCGTTCCTGAGATGATCGCGTTCAAACAAAAAAACTCTTCAGCTTTTATAATAATAATATAATACTAAATATATTTATATAGATTGTATGTATTCTACGGTGACAATACTTAAAGAATCTTCGTCTGCGAGAACCGAGTGCTTCAAATCCTCAAGTACTTGTTGGTACATCGATACAAGTTTGAAGTATTACCCCGTATTCCCGGGGAAAATATAAAATACGGGAATATTCATGTAACATGAGGCAAGAACAAGTACTTATGTAAGAAGTGAGTGACCCTTGAATGGAACTCCGACTTTCTTTACATTTCTGTGGTAAGAAAATGTTATTATTGTTGATACAAACAATAGAGATATTTCGACCTGAAACTTTTTTATAGTTTAACATAAATATTTTTTACGTAAATGCTGTAAAAACTATGAATGACTGGATGAATGTTTCTAGGTACTTTTTTAAGGTTCAAGTCTGTTACCCTACGAAATCACTTTGATGGCCTATTGACATTTTGTATAATGAACTAGCTTCAACCCGCGGGTTTTGCCCGCGTGGTATGTTGATAAAAGCCACCTATGTGTTTATCCAGGATATCACCTACCTGCATTCCAAATTTCAACCAAATCGGTCCAGCTGTTTTTGCGTAACAATAAGAAACATCCATATATTCTCACAAACTTCCACATTTATATTATTAGAACGATTAATTACACAATGTCCAAGTTAAGTTAAGTCATACGAGATATTTTTTAGAAACGTCTTCATATAAACGGAGTAAATTAATATCATTTACAAGACTCGATTTTTATCTTAGCAAATACAATAAAAACCAATTCCACAGAAAAGACTTAACACTACAAAAGCGCCATCTACTACACTAAAAAATCTCAAACTAAAACTTCACTGGACTACTTTCCGTATGGCAACTGACCTGTCTTGTCACCCTTTACTTCACAAACAGTATGTCAACATGTCAAAATATTTTCAAGTACTCACCATTGTAAACAGAAGCCACGAAGATCTTGACAGCACGCGGGCCTGGCCACTTGTCGCTGGATTCTGTGAAGCCCTTCAGTGCGTTGAGCACCGCCGGCTCGGGAGCGCTCATGGCGCCCCGTCCACTGCCTCACCCCGCACCACTCGCGTCACACCGCCGCATTCTGGCAACAAAAGAAATATATTTTAGTGACAATATTCTGTGGAGTAATTCTACTTTGTAATTCTTGAGGCCAGTAAAATTTTACTTGCCTTCATGTTTAAAGATTATATCGTTCGTTATATACCTATCATAGGTTCTGCTCTTGACAAATCTCGGTTGACTATAGCAAATTTTCCTTAGCTTTCCTTACATAGAAATTATTTCAAGTTGGTTCGCCCCATGTACACTACGAGGCAAATGTAGCTATCATACCTAATTTGCCAAATTCCTTCCTACTTTTCTGCGTTTTGCCTTATTTGAAAAATTACAATTACTTATCTAAATATATAGGTATATACATTTTTTATGTGATAGGACGTCAAACTAGCTGACGGATTATTTGATGGTAAGCAATCAGCGCCGCCCATGAACATTCGCAACCACGAAGGAGATACGAGTAAATGCGTTGCCGACTTTTTGGGGATAAGGGTTTTGGAAATTTAGGGATTGGGGAAAAGAAGGGGCTTTCGGTAACCTCACTCATATACACGGCTGTGGTTGTTTTCATGCCGGTTTTCTGTGAGGTCATGGTATCACTCCTGTCGACCCGACTCATTCGTGCAGAAGCATGGCTCTCTCACACATAAAATGTACTAAATACATATATGTATAGTATATTTGATAAAAACTAAAAGAGTTAAAATATCCCGAGCACAGTTATTCCAAAAATATATACGTACATTTCAGTTCCCCTCTAAAAAATAACAACCATCAATATAATTTCGATATCGCGAGCGGCTCCGGTCGTAAATCATAAACTCGATGTCAAAAACAAGCCTTGCCTATACAGAAAACTTATTTTTTTTATCAAACAAAATACGTTAGAACAAATTGCAGCCATTTACAGATGTTTTGTCTTCAAACAAGTTATTTTTTTTTCGTATAAATAGCAATTAGGTAATCAACTGAGATTAATTTGATATAATGAATATTTGACAGGTAGAAAAATTGATGATATTTAAGGTTCCTAAAGATTTCTTTAAAGACCTCAGTCAAGTCAAGTTAAAGACCTCTCCTCAGTCTGCTTGCGACCACGACCTGTGCAACCAGGTCGAAATATCAAGGCTTCCGAGGCATTTAAATGATTACCTACTTTTTGCGTTAATAGCCTTTAATCATAAGTGTTAGAATAGTTTCTTAACGAGCGTGAAAATAATTTATTATAAACCTATAACTTTTCAATCTTGTCGGTTTCAAACATTTCTATAGAGTTCTTTATTCCTAATGTATAAAGGGTGAAAGAAATTTATTATATAATATATTATATAACGGGGTACTTCTTCCAGATTGAGTGGAACACAAAAGGCACTAATCAAAAGCTGCTCGTTTGAAACCTTTTGTAGCTTCACACTGCAGCTGGGAGACTTGTGAACTGAGAATAGCTGTAAGCTGTAACTCTCTGTATATAATATTATACCTCTTTTGATAATATGAATTTGAGTTTGATACTTTTGTGTGTGATTTTTCTCACTGCGTTTACTGTTGTTAAATGTTTATTATAAAAAAGGTGTATACCAGGTACATAATTATTCGCCTTTTTCGTAACGACGTGTATATAAAACAATAGCAAAATTATTTACAATTATTAAAGAATCAATTTCATGTCTCGTTAAAAGCATATCAAAGGAAAATTGAATTAATAACACATTTTCATCACACGTAATAAACCTACTTACAACAATAAACAACCGTAACACCTCATAAACAAGATCTGCAATCATTCTCCCACTTTTAGTATGATAAGACGAAAGCTATAAAGTATATGAATAGAAAAAAAAATACTCGTTCGGCAACATGAAGCTATAAATACCCATTTTATCATGAGCTCGACACGTATGATCTTTCTGCACATTTGACGATCAGTTTATATTGGTTTTACATTACCATGTGAACAAGTCTCCCAATAAGTAGGTTACATAGCAATAGCAACCCATCCGGTGTTACGCGCGCCCCAATTAGGCAAAATGTGTTGGACTGAAGAGTGCAAATGTCATTAGTTGGTATTCCAGATCGAATGGGAAGCGGAAATATCGTTAGGGCGAATTACTGATGTATGGCAACCCAATCAGTGTTGCTATATGTGAGTATTCTAAACATAGACATGTGTATTTTTAAAGAAATGTATCTTTATTTTTGGTAGGTTTTATTTTTGAGGACTTCTGTTTCTATCTCGTATAAATACATTTTTTATTTTTAATACCAATTTTTTTTTCTTCTCTCTGTCATTTTGCGTTTGCCGTCCCTGAATTTCTACTGATCTAGTGTGAGTACTATGTAAAAGAGAGCGAGGATATTTGTCGACAACGATCACAATACATCTACAGTCACCATCATCATCATGAGCCGAAAGATATCCACCGCTAAACAAAGGTATCTCTTTTATTCCTTCACGTCGAACGACAACTGGTCACATACATCCATTGGCACTCTACAACTCTTCAGACGTCGTCGGTCCATCTAGTAAAATGTTTAGCCACGCTGCGTCTTTTAGTCTGTGGTCGCTACTCTAACACTTTCCGGACCCATTGGCGGTCTGTCCTTCGGCCTGCCTATTGCCAGTCCAGCTTGCAGATTTAACAAACTATGTCGGTAATTTTGGTTCCTTAACGAATTTATGCATTTCAAATATTGTGGGGCGAAGAAACCTTTAAAAAAAAGCTTTATAATTAGTGCCCTGAGCGACACTGAATTGAACATACACTGATATTAATTCCTATGCAAATACAACTAACACGCACTATCAGCTGAATAGAATCCAGATTTCATATAAACTAGAATTTAGCAAAACAATACTATACAAACAGATTGTATTACGAAAACAAACTGATTTGCATTTCGTTAAATAATTAATGTTCATACCCACGTCAGCCGCTGTTAAGCGAGATATTCTGAACACAGCGCTGTAATTGCAATTTGCGTATACAGTTAAACATACCTACTAGTATTTAATACTTAGTTATGCTGATATTTACTTAAATAACGTGCAATTAGGAATAATCTAGACGTCTTACTAGATATACATATTCTACAAAGTATATTCGACTGAAATTCAGGCACGTGCTGCTTAAAATGATACGATGATTTTTGTGAGTGTGAGTGTATTATTTGGAAACAATCAATTTAAACTCTTTAAATTGAGAGAAATTTAATTATTGTTTCAGTTTAAAACAGAAGAACTTTTTTGAAAATGACGATGTGTTAACTATAATTTGATCCCCGAAAATTGTACATAATATGTTTATAAAGAAAATTGGTTTACAGACTGATATGTATATAATGTAATCAGTATTTTTAGATTCTGAATCTGAATCAGTTTCTTCGGCATTGATACTACAGTCTTACAGAAAACCGACTTGAAAAACGCTTAGGTTATTTAAAGGATACCGGAAGGCTAGTGCTCTTGCTCAATGATTCAAATCTCTTGTCCAAAATACCTCTGAAAACTAAAATTAAGAAACTAAAAACATGTGACTTATAGTTATTGAATTTATAAATGTAATTCTATTTAGAATTTATACGTACGTATCATATTCTTAATATTTACATATATAAAATATATTATGTACCTATGTTATACTTATTTTGTAGGTAACTCGACAAATAAGGACGTGAGAGAGTAAGGACTTGCCTAAACTTATTTTTTTTTTGGAATTCGCCAATCCGCTTCGAGCAAGCGTGATGATTAATGCTCAACCTTAATTTATGCAAGAAGGGTCCTTATGATGATGATAAAGAACTACTTAATAAAACTAATAAGAAAACTGTCCAAATGTAAGACACTACAATATGTGTGTTTAAGACACTACAATATCAAATATCGCTCCCCCAACTTTTATCGATTTTCTCTACTCTACGAATGTACAAAATTTTGTTCCACTTCAATTGAATTAATATTCAGAGAGAACTCTTCGTCTTTTTCGAATGAAACTGTCAGTCGGTTCGTGTCCCGGTAATAATTGATACAGTTCTACATTTAATTTCCTATTACAAACACGGGTTGTCCATTAAATGTCTTATGGAACTTGTGAATTAATGAGGTTTTTATTGACTAAGTTTAGTAAAATGTTGTAACGTATATTTTAAGATGTCTTTTTTTATTTAATGAGGTCGACAAAGGAGCAGGCGGATTACCTGATGGTAAGCAGTCAGCGCCACCCATGGACACCCGCAACAGAGGAGTTACGAGTGCGTTGCCGACCTTTTGGGGATTAGGGATTTGGAGATTTATGGACTGGCAAGAGATTGGGGAAGGGGAAGTATTGGGCCTCCGGTAACCTCACTCACACGGCAAAACACAACGCTGTGGTTGTTTCACGCCGGTTTTCTGCGATGCCGTGGTATTGCTCCGGTGGCATGGCTCTCCTACACTTAAAGTACATATTTTTGGAAATTGAGGGTTTACAGCAATACAGACTATAAGATTAAAGTAAAAATGGCTGTGACTACTCATTTTTCTAGACTCTGTGACATTTACAAACCTGATTATTAAAGGAAACAAAATTTACACCATAAAGAACACAATGACAAACTAGAACTTTACATAAGAAAGGAAAATAAATCTTAAAGATAAACATATAAGACACAGTATCCTGTATAATTTGCTGAGTTTACTATTACTTCAACAGGTACCAGTGTAATTACCGCACTTCATTTACTTAGGTACGCTAGACCTTAATGTATGTACTTACACATTCTTAGGTCATATTACCGTTAAGTACGGCGCTACTTAATGCTAAGAGCAAATACTAACCTGTTGGCTTAAGTATCAGAGTAGTTGTTTTAAATTTCTATTTATTAAAAGAAGCATTTGATAAAATATATGGAATTACTTTTACGAAACTTTTTGGAGAAAATTAAGAACAAAAAAAATCAAGGTCACTTTTTTATGGTTCCATGTATTTGCTTATAGTAACTTTATAGTAATTTGCTTATAGTTCTTTTGTGTTTAATAAGCGAATATCA